CCCCCCCCTCAATTATACCATATAATACTATACCACGAGCCCCGCTTATACCGCCAGGTTTTGCCTAGTGATTTGAGGCTTGTGACTTGAACTAGGGGCTTGCGAGCACGAGCGGGTTTGCTACCGGGGTACAGCCCTAAACACACACCACACACCAATGGTGGGGCGCCATTGGTGCAATTGGTGCTAGCGCTCCACCTAACCCTGGCCTGGGGGCTCTCGTGGCCTAGAGGTTAAGGTGTTGGCCTCTCATTCAAAGGTCCCGGGTTCGAATCCGGGTAGCGACCAACAAATTTTCTTCTCTAAAATTGTCTCCTTTCACCTCCTTTCCTGCTCTCTAGCAATGTTCTGTTGTCTGCTTTCATTTCCACTTTCTGCCCCCACCCCCTCACCTCCTTTGCCCCTCCTCTGGGCTCCTGACTCTTTCTGCAGCCTTTCTACTGCTACTCCTTGGCCCCTCCTTACTGCTGTCTTTCTGCCACACCCCTGATCTTCTGGTAGGAAAGATCTACACCTAGCCTTCTCGGACAAGGGCGAAAAATCTCGGAGGGCCCGTGTGCAAGTTGCGCACGTTAAAGATCCCTTGGTGGTCTAAAATCGATAAGAGTAGGCTTCGGCCGCCACCCGGGCAAAATTCAAAATTTCCTACCAACTGAAAATATTAGGTGTGTCCCGCGCGCTCATATGACCTATGCAGTTGCGAGCGCCGTAAAACACTTTACAAAAAAACAAAAATAACCCTGGCCTTCACACCCCTAGACTAGATGTACTACAACTAAATCCTTGCTGCGCTAGTGAAGAGACGGATGGCGAGGATGGTTTATGCTCGTCGCACCGGTTGCGGTAGTCTCTGCTGGGAGCAAGCAAAATCTTTGCACCAAAGTTATTTTTGTCACTGTAGAGAAATCTAGTATCTAGGCACCGCTCTTTCCGCTCAAGAAGAAAAGTGCGTGAAACTGGTGCAGGCTAAAAATTTGATCCAAGTTTCCGCGACTACACTAAGTAGAGTCTACGGTAACTCAATGAAGAATGGGTATTGAAACTGTTGTCTCCCTCTATTGTGTAGCAAGTCCTGGTGCAACCGAAGTAATTAGAAATCTTTAAATGGTGAGCATAGTGAGCTGTTAGTATTGTTTCACTTTATTACAACCTTTATGCGGTTTCATCTAGAAACAGTTGTAAATATCGATAGATGTAGATTACGGGATATCCAGCAGATTCTAATTGACTTTCTCTAGAAATCTAAATAGTAGCTACTAAACTTATTGCCCATTTGCTCACTTTCCAATTATGCACCACCTTGTCTGCAACCCACGCGACGCCACTAGCACATACAAACGCATGCACGAAAAACACAAACAATCACACACACACACACACACACACACACACACACACACACACACACACACACACACACACACACACACACACATATACACACAAACGCGCGCGTGCGCACAAATAAGGTTTTTACAAAATGACTTATAAGGCGAGGATGCTTGGGGGTGGGGGGTGCAGGGGTGGAGAGCAAGCGAGACATATACACGCCCAGAGCCTTTGCGGTCTTGGCTTTGACGTCTCCTATTCTCAGTCTCTCAGTCAAGGAAGTTCAGTCTAATTAAGGTCCTTTTAATGGTCCCTGTACCAAAGATCCTCCTCTCGTGGAGAACCTTTGCCGGTACCGCGATACCAGTACTGGTGGTGGCGGAACTCAACACCCAGTCAGCATGAGCAGAAATCGCATAATATTAAACTTTGTGAATTGCAGCGCTGGGTGGTAGACCTACTTGCAAAATTGAATTCCGGTACTTTACCGACACTGTAGCCTACCACACAGCACTGCCGTCTACAATTCACAGTGTAAGATCTGTAATTTCTGCTCGTGCTCACATGTATTAAAACTAGCCCATCTCGCCGTCATCTTAACAATAGCGAACCAAGGACCTTACAACATACCTTACTGTAAAACCTCCTTGCATCGAACAGATCGTCTCCGAATCACTCAAAGTATCCACATAGTTCTCGAGACAGCTCGTTGTATTGATCTTAAAGGACTCGAACCCCCCATCTCCCTTTCGAAATAGGGTGCCCATTACGGCAGGTCGGGCCCATCGCCCGACTTTTTGTCGTCTCAAAAACAAATCGGCCCGACCCGCCGATCCCATTTCGTAATGGGCACCCCGTATAAGATTTGATTAAAACTAATTAAACAAAAATTTAATAGAGGGAAAAAAACCAGGGTCAACTTCAAAACATAAACAAGCAACCA